AACACCCCCCCCCCCCCCCGAGAGGTGGGCGCCAGCCTCTCTCCTGGGGTTCTGAAAAGACCTGGCTTTGGTCTCAGGCCTGGGGTTAACGTGTTTGTGGAGGCCCTGTTGTGTTTCTTTGTTATTGTTGCAGTTGTTTTAGCCCAAGCTGTCTGTGTTGTATGTTTTTAACTGGTTTATTGCCCTTGGATTTTGTAAGCCACCCAGAGTCTACTGGAGTGGGAGGACATAATTAAATTAAATTAAATTAAATTAAAAAAATACTTTGTGGAACAACTGTGGGCAGAAAGGTGATTCACAGATGTTTTATTAAATACGTACCCATTCAGAATTAAAATACAAAAATAATTTGTGGGAAAAAGATGAAAATAATTTTGAAGAGCATAAACGTTTATAAAACAAATATATAGGAAAAATATGGATGTTCATTAATTTGTATTAAATTTTTATCTGGCCCAAATATTAATGCTTTATATGTATTATACTCCCAAAGAAATAATTATTTCTTCTCAGAAAAAATGTCCTTAAGCATCTTTATTATAATCCTCTGGTGCATTTTTCTGTTTAGTCTGTTACTGTGGGAGCACCTCTCGAGAAGTGTTATGTGGAGCAAGTGAAGATTGGTTTTCATGCCTGAGAACTTGTGGGAAGTAAGAAAATAGCTTATTTATCATATTACTTATTTTTTTCCACATTTATGATCAGTGTAACTTTACAAACAAATTATGGTTCTAATTTCAGAAAATTATCCTGTGGAATGCACAGTTGTGAACAAGTATGCCATCCACAGCCCTGCCAACCTTGTCCACGGCTTCCACAAATAGTGCACTGTTGCCCTTGTGGACAGACTCCTCTTAGTAAATTACTAGAGTTGGGATGCACAGAACGTAAACTCTGCACGGATCCTATCCCATCATGTGGAAGAACATGTGGAAAACCTTTACCTTGTAGTAGCTATGGTAATTAAACATTGCTTGCTTCCATATTTAAAAATTTATTGTGCTTTAATTATCACATTTGCAAAATGAAGTATTAAAAGCATAATTTTGAACAAAAATAACTCATTTCCATGGTGATAAATTTCAGTTTAGAAGAACAGCCATTTTGAGAGAACGATGGAAAAGAAATTGGTGTTTGTGGTTGGTCTTATTGTTTATAATGAAACATTGAAAGAATCAGTAAAGGACATAAGGGTGATAAATACTTTGAATGTGAGGGCAGACTTTTTTTTTGATACTGTTCAAAAGAATGGGGGAAAAATAGACATGGAAGAAAAGAAAAAAGGAAAGAAAGTAGAATGAAAGAAGAATGGCTGCAGAAAGGTACACATTCTTTATCAAAATGTATAAATAGATTAATCTTCCAGCAGAATTAATGTGAAGTAGGCAAAAGAAAAAAGGATGTGGAACAGAAAGAAATGAGTTACAGAATACTTCAGAACTGTGTGGGAAGCTAATGGGAAGTATGAATTCACACTCTTGGAATGAGGAAGTAAAAGAGACTATGGATGAAGGAAAATGAATACAGGTAGTCCTCACTTAACAACCATTTGTTTAGTGACTGAAATGACAACGGTGCTGAAAAAATGGACTTGCAACCCTTGCCCAAAGTTAATGTCCATTGTAGCCCGCCCATGGTCATGTGATGAAAATTTGGGTGCTTGGCAGCCTGCCCACACTTATGACCCCACGTGCACTGCAACTCCCCCCCCCGCCTATCTCTCCCCACATTCAGCAGCGGTAGGGCTGGGGCTGAAATAGAGACCTGGGGCCTTCAGTCTCAGCCAGCTGCCACCACCCCCAGGCCTTTATTTCAGTCCCAACACCATTGCTGCCACCGAGAAATGCCGCCTCAAGCCCCACACTGCTGCCAGCCACCCTGGCACCATTGCACAAAGCTCCAGTTGCCCCCACCACCCTGCAATCCTTAGGCTCTGCTGCGTCCACCTGATCTTCTCTGTTTTCTTTCCACTGCTGACTAAGCGTGCCTGGTCTGACCCTACTGTCAAGGCAGTTGCTGGCTGCTCCTGGCCTTCTTCCCGTGGCTGCTTGCATCATTCTCCAAGCCATTCGTGCCATTCCTTCTCCAAATTGCACGCCCCATATTCATGATCTTTCAGAAACCTTCTGGTCTTCCCCAGGCCTTGCGAGAATAGGCACGCTATTTGGAGAAGGAATGGGGCACACGATTTGGAGAATGAGTTCTTCTGAAGCACCATGAGAATGGGGCTCTTGCTGTTTCCTAGTAGTGCATCAGTTCTTGCGAAACCTGGGGAAGACTGGAAGGTTTCCGAAAAATCACGAGAATGGGGCACGCAATTTGGAGAAGGAATGGTGCAAACAGCTTGGAGAAAGGTGCAAGTGACCTCAGGAAGAAGGCCTGGCATGGCCAGCAGCTGCGTTGCATACAGTAGGGTCAGCCCAGGCGCACCTTGTCAGCAGTGGGAGGAAAACGGTGAAGGTTAGCTGGGCGCGGCAGAATCTGTGGAGTGCAGGGTGGTGGGGGCAACTGGGATTTTGTGCAGTGGTGTGATGGAATAGAATTATGAAGGCCAGACTCAGGGAGAAAAATGTTTTTCTCCCTGAGTCTGGCCTTCATAATTCCATTCCATCACAAATGGTGCTGGGGTGGCTGGCTGCAGTGTGGGGCTTTAGGTGGCATTTCTCAGTGGCAATGGTGACGTTGGGGCTGAAGTAGAGGCCTGGGGGCAGTGGCAGCTGGCTGAGACCGCTGAAGGCCCTTCAGCCTCAGTCCCAGTGCTGTCGCCGCCCAGTGCTGCTGTGCAGGGTGGCCAAAAGGGCATAGATGGGGGGGGGAGATGTGGGGGGAGTTGCAGTGCCCCTGCAATTTTAAGTGCTGCTGGGCTGGGGCAACTCAGGCTTCCCAAGGTGCGGCAGCTTGGCACCACACTGCAGCACCCCCCCAACTTGCAGTGGCCTGTGCCAGGCTTCCTAGGGCCTCCCCCACCCTCTGTGGCACCCCCATACTCCTTACCTGAGACTCCCTCTGCTTAATGACCCACATTTCTCAGTTAATAATAGCAAGCAGGAGTTCTGGGATTGTGGTCACTAAGTGATGCAATCGTGACATCTTGCTTTATGATTGCATTGCTTAGTGATGGAAATTCCGGTCCCAATTGTGGTAATTTAGCAAGGACTACCTATGTACAAGCAAATTATATTGCTGCCAAAAATGATGAGAGATATATTGAAAATAAAACAAGTAGTTTCGGAAGTGGCTAAAAAGAGCTAAACAAAGAGCTTCCACTAGAGGAAACAGAATTAAATGATGAAATTATTGGGAATGGAAGTGAGGGGGTATTGGAAGGAGTACTTTACAATACACATTTGTAAAGGAACAGTAACAATATGTCAAAGAGTAAGTGCGAAACACAGGCAATGCAGAGTATGCAGGCCAGATTTTTGCTCTTCAGGAAATCACTGAGAAATCTTTACTTATGAATAAGAAACTTTGTTGAAACAAGTGTATGCCATGAAACATTTTGCACTAATATGGAGTTGAAGGTTGATTGCTGAATGTAGTAAGAGCAATATATCCTGGAAGTGAAACATGCATGAGAATACCAGCTTTTGGACTAGTAGGGGGTTATCATCCTAACCTGCTTCCCAAAATCCTCTTTGTTAGCTATCTGTATACATAATAAACAATAATGCCTTTCAAGATAGGTTCTGAAAACAGTGCTTTTATGCCTTTTTAAAAACTCAATTGGCCAAGTTGTGACTGTTGATGGATAACAAAAAGCATAGTTGAAATATTGTAGAATACTAAAACTTGTGTTAAAAATGCTTTTCACATTTTGCACAGATGCTGTACATACATGTGAAAATCTCTGCCATGAGGGTGAATGTGGGCAGTGTTCTCGCACATCAAAGGTCTACTGCAGATGTGCCTTAAAAATAAAGGTAATTATGATAAAATATGAAGCAGAATGTTGAAAGTGAAAACTTCAGTTGTCTTACACTTGCAGATCTAAAATCTGGTATGTCTACTTGTTTCATATACAAGATTATCCTTTAATCTTGTCTTGCAAAATCTTTCTGTTCTGTGTCTGCTCCAATATATTTATGGAACATTAATTGCATTTCCAGTTATTTATTGCAACATTGTTTAACAGTTTCATCTAAAAGGGTTTGTGTGTGGTTGTATGTGTGTGTGTATATGTGATTTCAAGGTAGTTGCAGCTTTTCTATATAGTAAAAGCTTAATTTAATGGACCATTTGGGGAAAGGGGACATCCATTCTTCCCAAATTTTGTTAAATTTAAAATTAAATCATTGTGGAAATTTGCATAATTTCTGTTAATAATGTAATTTCACAAATTATGGAAATTGCCAAAAATAAGATAATTTATAGGGTAAATTTCATTTGATTTTTAACTTCTTTGTCTGAACTATGTTGTATACTATGTATGCATTGTTATTTTGGGGTGATGTCCAGACGGAAATGTTGCATCTTAAGCTTCCTAATTAGGAGTCTACTAAATTCAGATTTCCCTTGCATTTTTATATTTTGATATCTGGTACAGGTAGTCCTCGTTTAATGACCACTCATTTGGCAATTGTTCAGAGTTACGACGGTGCTGAATGAGTGGTACTTAGGACTGGTCCTCAAAGTTCTGACTGTCCCAACACCCCCATGGTTATGTGATTGCAATCTGGGGACTTGGCAACCAGCTCACATTTACAACAGTTGCAGTGTCCCACAGTCACGTGATTGCCATTTGCAACCTTCTCTGCCAGCTTCCACAAGCAAAATCATTGGGGAAGCTGGCAGGGAAGATTGCAAGTTGCTTTGGTAAGTCATGCATGCCCTCCCCTGCCCGGCAGCAACCGGCTCCACCGCACTTGGGCCTCACAGGCCTCCCCCACCCGGCAGTAGCCAGCCCCAGCCCTGCCTTGCCTGCCTGTCTGCTGGCCTGCTTGCAAGCCCCCTGCAACTCGTTTAACAACTCACAATCCTTGCTTAACGACGGCAACAAGGAGTGCCAGGATTGCCGTCACTAAGTGAAGCAGTCACATGACATCGCACTTTACAACTACATCACTTAGCAATGGAAATTCTGGTCTCAATTACCATTGTTAACCGAGGACTACCTGCATATGTTTCATATTTCATCCATAACTCATTATACATATAGGATCTCCTATTTCTCAGATTTCTAAATATAAATTGAATTTCAAATCAATTAAGAAAATGCATACTTTCCTATTATAACATTTTGTAGAGTCAGTAATATATTTTTATACAAAGGCAATTGTGCAACTGCTAACGTGGCTATAGAAAGTATGTTTTCTTTTCTTTGTAAATAAATTCATGAGATTGTGAGTACATGTTGCAGCTTACTGCTTTATCTTCCTTGAATATCAGTCTGATAGTATAAATTATTTACAACTTAATTTCTGTTTTAGGAAGTTCCGTGTGCCTCTCTCAAAAATCAAGGTAAATAATCTTAACATTGGTATACTAGTATATAATGAATATTAGATAGAGGCTTTCGGCTACTGGCAATTAAAAGAGAAAGACCCACTTTCACTCATAGGATTTTTTCTATCATAGCCAATATTGGAAAGCCCACATATACAAAGAATATGAATAATAGCTATTACTATCTTGATATTTCATACCGCAAATAGTTGGAAAAAGCCAGAGCTTACTGAATACATTATGCTGAGCTATGTTTTTTTTTAAAAAAACCTGAGTTTTAGCCAGTGATGTCTTTTTCTATTAGGATGGAATGAAGGCAGAACAATGCATCTTCCTGTACACCATCAAAATCTTCTGTGGGTTGAGGGATCCTAGAACAGCTAGAGGTCATGTAGGAAAGAGAAAAAAGGATAAAAAATGAAAGATATCCTATTAGAGGAATGGGAAGATCTTAATATGATATTATAGACAGCTAACATATTCCCATTAAGATTGTATTTTAGACATTTTCATGGAAGCTGAAAAAAACTATTTCACATATATGAAATGCATAATTTTTAGTTGTAGGATAATTGCATGATAGCCAGCAATTATCATTAATCAATTTCTAGCTTTGCTCTTTCTAACTATCATATGTTGAATAAGAAACAAAATAAATGTATATGCATTCAAATGTATAGCTAATAAAGAGCTTTTTTTTCTTAAATTCAAAAGCTTTATGAACTCTGAACTAGCCGTGTTGTTTTACATGTATTTTGATGATAAAGGTTTTGCAGTGGCTAAATATATCTAACAATGGGGAACATAAGGCATTTACTTAAAATTTCATTAATTAACTTTCAAATTATAATGATAATTTAAACATTTTCTTTTTTGTTTAAGTTAAAGTTGCATTCTTGTGTGACAAAAGATGCAACAAGAAATTGTCATGTGGGCGACACAAGTGTAATGAAACCTGCTGTGTGGTAAGTTCATGAGTGTGTGATACAAGGAGTTTTGTCAGTATAATTAAATTGTTCTTTTAATTGTGTGGATCTAGCAAGGTTGACCAATAACCACAATGCATAATCATCCTGGATTTGACTAAAAATCTGTGGGAGAACCCCAGCATCATCTTATGGTCACAGTCCAACGTGTAGGACTGGAACTGTCACCATAAAACGGCTACCAGTTCCTAGCCATGTTAAGGGACAAACAAGGATATCATAATCAATGGTACTGAAAGCATTTGAGAGATTCAAGAGAAGAGAAGCAGTTGGGCCATAGTCATCCCATTTGATTCCTTGCATGTATCATCAATGAAGGTGATCAAAGCAGTCAGTCTCATATCCTGGCTAAAAATACAAGTGGAATAGATGCACATAATCACTTTCCTTTGAATGTGTCTGGAGTTGCAAGCCTATCATTCTCTAGAACATTGTAGTTAGAAATAATATCTTAAACATTTGAGATCAACTGATCGTTTCACTCTGAGTCAAGGGAAGACTTCCATAATATTGGTCTTCTCACTGCCTCTTTTACATGGGAAAGGATATAAAAAAGCATTAATACCTCCTTTAATCATACGGACAGCCCTCTCCAATTGATTTAATCAGCTTAGAGGGACAGTGATCAGACAAACATATGGTAGCATTAATCCCACCAGACATGATCCACATGCTTGACAGTCACAAACTGAAAAGAATCCAGGTTAACAAGATAGATGGTTGCCACAGTCTGATCACCATGTTCTGCCCCAAGATTAAAGTCCAGGTTAAGGCAAATTTGAGTGACTGTATCAATAATGTTACAAACTGCTCACAGCAAGCCATTGACTACTTTGCTCTTCCTCCCCAGCATTCTGGTGTTGGAGGCACTACACAGTACAGAAATGCAATTCTGGACTATTTATATAGATTCCTTGGAGATGCATAAGTAAACATTTTTCAATCACTATAATAGAATATTGCCCCAAATGAGGTTTAGTCCACACTTCATCTGACCCACCTGAAGATTTCTTCCATGATCCATCTCTTGTTGTTAATGGTCAGTATTAAGATCAATATGCTGAAAATTAGTCTGTGCAAAATCATTTAGTGGCTGTTTCACCTTCTTGTTCTTGAGATTGCACTCCATTGAAAATCCAGTTCAGGTTCTGGCAGTGCTCACCAATCTAAGAGAATCTGAAGGATTGTCTGCCTCCACATGTCTTTGCCTGTGTATTAAAGTATCCTTTGGGGCCCCTCTTCAACTGTTTGTGTATTTTAAGATGAGGGACGTGATAGTTAAAGAAGGCTTCCTCAAATTGTTGAAGGCTCTACATGGAGGCTTTCTGGCACTTGCTATGTTCCTTTTGATAGTGGATAAAACAATGTGCTTATAAATGCTAGAAATTTATTTTGAAAGGAGGGATAAGACAGGTATTGTAATAGAAGGCTTGAGCGAGGAAGATACTGGAATGGAGGATCAAGGTTATCAGGAGGGAGGGGGAACATTCCAGAGTAAGCGCTTTCTCAGTCCACAGCAGGACGTGGGAAGAAAAAGAGGATGAAGCTAGCCCCTCCCTAGAGTCTCATGGGGTATATCCACTAGTTGCTTTAGCATAGGTTTAGTCTGGCGAGATTCTGTCTAGTAGGTGCAAGCTAATAAAGGAGCTGTACTGGACTGGATTGCCTCGTTGTTCTTGGGCTGAACCTGACAGGTATATGCCAATACTTTTGATTGAATATTGATTTAGAAAATCTATGTCTAGTGAAGTCTCCTAATTGTTTGTCATTTTTTAGTTCCTGAGTATGTTCTTTTTTTATCTTTTTTTTAGGATAAGGAGCACAAGTGCTCTTTGATTTGTGGACGTAAACTCAATTGTGGTATCCATAGATGTGAGGAACCTTGTCACCGTGGCAATTGTCAGAAGTGTTGGCAGACCAGTGAGCATTCATTATGATTTCCTGTAGCTTCTCATTTTGTAATAATTTGTTTAAAATAACATTATTTTGATGATTAAGTACATTATGCATAATCCAGTAAAGGTTAGTGACTAAGCCCTGTGGCATTTCCTTTAGGCATCTATTTTTGTTTAAGTGCCTGCTATTTATGTAGATATGGTCTGTTTCATTGGGAGTTTTCTTATTGGTTTACTTGAATGCACTCTCCTCCCCTACTGTGTTTAGACTGCTGTCTTGCTCATTGTTATATGTAAAAAAAAGTATCTTAAAGAAGTCAGAATGCCATTTATAGCAAAAACTTCTTAGAACCCAGACCATTTTAATAATGGTTGTTTGCAAGACTACTCTTTCTGGCCATAGTGCTTGAGGTAGTTATTGGGGGTACAACTGCATATACTCATGATCAATCCTAATTATCTAAATCCATTTTAACTTGTTTGTCTTAGATTTGACATCTAGTAGCATTGAGTGAGCAATGGCGGGGGAGAGGGAGAGCACTGGGGGGAGCGGGAAGAATGAGATATAGTTGCAGATCTTTTATCTTTTCTAGTTTGTTTCATATTAGTAGCTGTGACCCAAGGAAAGGATGTGGCTGCTTTAAAAATTGTGGACAGATGCTACTTTTGCACTCCTGTGCTTTCCAAAACACCTTTTGAGAATCACATCAAAAGCACTGCATAGCCCTAAAGTATTCAGAAGTAATTTATTTTACCTTATACCTTTAGGTTTTGAGGAATTAACGTGTTATTGTGGTGGATCAGTGATTTATCCCCCAGTACCTTGTGGTACTCGACCACCAGAATGTAAAAATCCATGTAGCAGACCTCATGAATGTGATCATCCAGGTAAGATATACATTTAAACTGTTTTTTACTTGCTAAAGGTGCAAAACATTTTCATATGCATGGTGTAGGGAACAAAGTAAATGCTGGTTTGTATTGTGAATTTAAATCTTGAGGTCAGATGATTCCTAAGTTCCATGATATTACAGTAACATTCTAGGATTAGTGCTGGGGCATTCAGATTGTCTTTGAAATTATAGTTTATAACCATAATGACTGCTGTCATTCTGCTAGCAGAAAGCTTCCATTGCTTTCTGAGACTCATTTTCATCCATGTGTGTCATATCCATAAGTTTAATTTCACTTGCACAGGTCCTGTCAGAGATTATTGCACAAACCATTGTATGAGTCAGTGTAACTTGATTAGGCTAGATACTGCCATTGTGTTAGATGTTTTACTAGAGATTGCAGAACCTCTAACAGAACAGTAGAAGTACCTTTTCCAGCCGGTGTCTTTTGGACAAGCCACAAAGTATGCTCTAATTAAAAATAATGCCACAATTTCCAGTAGAGAGATTAAGCCTCTTTTGAAATCCCAGTTTAGACTTTATTTGGTAATAAAGGTACCAAATTTGGTAATAAAATTAATTATTATATGCCACCCAGAGTTGCTTTGTGTGAGATGGGTGGCTATATAAGTGTGACATATAAATAAATAAAGGGCTACCATCCTTTGCTATTTGGATCAAGATCAAGTGTGACAGTTTTTTGTTTTTAGGATCCATATGGCTCTGAATGTTTTTATTTTTGATGCCTGGCAGAGAATGTGTAAGTTATGACTTTAATTTGTTATACTTACGCTTGGATACCTGGACATGTGTATTTAGCTTTATAAAGTTTATTATTGTAAAGCAACTCTGAGTACTTTTAAAATGTTAGAATGGTTGCTGACTTAATTCAAAAGGAAAAGAAACACAGTTTGGATGGGGCTGTAACTTCACAACTTCATGAAGTTTTTTATACATTAAATTAAAACATACAATTGGCTTATCCTCATACTTAAACAATAGAACATGGAAATATGAATGCTGAAATAACTTATACTAAAATGCATTATGTGTTTGTTACTGGAGAGCTTTCCTATGTTTATATTTCCTTTTTCTGTGTCTGTAGTTTATCATTCCTGTCATAGTGAAGAGAAATGTCCACCATGTACATACCTTGTTCAGAAATGGTGTATGGGAAGGCATGAAGTAAGTGTATATTGTCCTTTACCTTTGTTAGGGATAAATTTTATTATTTTTTCTTTTTCTAATATGTGCTTTATGATGTGGAGAGAAAAGTTTCAGGCAAATTTTTCATTTGTAATTTCTTCCTGAAAGTTGTACAATTTATAAAACTTTATTGTTTTGTAAACTTAATTAACAGTGAATGTAATGCATTTAATAGGTGATTTTGAGAGTTGTAGAAGTTGTAATTTGTATTCCAGGTATAAACAACCAAAAATCCAGTTTTGAATGCATTTAATTGGTTGTGCAATTAAAACCTAACCTAATGTACAGTGGGGCAAAAAAGTATTTAGTCAGCCACCAATTGTGCAAGTTCTCCCA